GCCGGATCTATCTTAAACGAAAATTGGATCGTAACAGCCGGGCACTGTGTCCAAGCAGTTCCTTCTATAAACCTTCTTCGTGTTAAGGCTGGAAAACACGATATTCGACGTAACGAGGACACCGAACAGACAGTCCAAGTGGTGGAAGGAATCATACATGAAAATTACGGAGGGTAAGGAAAATGTTGAAAAGCAATTAGTACAAGCAATTCAATTTCCTATTCAGGTCTTACTCACATTAATATTGTTTAATATATATTGTAATTAATGTTATATTTATAATTAACTTGTAATTGTACATATAAATAATTTAAAACGTAAAAATTTTTGAATCAATAATCAGCAGTTCTGTTTGTGGAATATACGCGATAATCTAAACTAATATCAATGACGTAGCATTGATATCGCGGTTACGACTTCATACTTATGATTAGAAAAACTGTATCTTAGATAAGTAATGAAGAATGAATTAAATTAGATAGATAAATAGAGATTTTTAAGATCAAAATTTTAGAGATAAAAAAGATTTTTTATAGATGTTGCACACTATATTTTTATTGACTCTGTATAGATTATTATCATTTTTCCACCAATAATACAATTTTTAAGTTTTAATTTAAATATAATTATATTTAAAGATCTGCAATTAATAAATATATAATTTTATATTTATACCATATGTTTTTTTAAATTTTTAGTGATGTCGGCCCATATGACATTGCTCTGCTTAAGCTTGCATCTCCATTGAAGTTGTCGAATGAAGTACAAGCCATCGAATTAGCAGAGCCAGAGAGTGATCCAACGGGAGAGGCTTGGCTTTGTGGATGGGGCTCCACCTCGACTACCAGACTTCCGAAAATGCCAGACAAACTTCAACATGTTAAGATGGAGTACGTCGATCGCAAGACTTGCCACGATGCTGTCGAAGACCTGACGGGATCTTCGCCCGTTCATGAAACCAATGTTTGCACCGGGCCATTGTACGACCAAATCTCCGCGTGCAGCGTAAGTCTCAGACATTTAGTAAATTCAGTTAATAGTGGCTTTGTTACCGCCTGTTAGTGCGGCGATTTAATATATCAAATCTTTAATATACTTTTAGGGTGATTCCGGTGGCCCACTAATCTCGCGTAACGGACAAAAGGCGGTGCTCACTGGAATTGTATCTTGGGGTATTATTCCATGTGGCACTGCAGGCGCGCCATCCGTGTACACCAGGGTATCCAAATTCAATAGTTGGATTGAGCAGAAAACCGGTAGTTATTAGAGACGGCAATGTTTACGGCGTATCAACGCGTATTGAATAACGAATTATTACATATTATTCAAATGAACTTAAAATAAATATAAAGCATAAATACTCGTTTTTCTTATTCCTATCCTACATAAAGTAAAAATTAAGAAGTAATTTGATTGAATGAAGCCAACACTCATGGCATATTATTGCTATTTGTGTGTGGCATATGTGATCCACAAAAAGTTATATTTATATCTACGGATTTAAGTTTCCTTCTTTTCATTGTAATTGTCTTGTATAAAGCAGCCAATACAATAGATGATTTTACAATAGGTAAAATATATGCTTTTATAGATTTTTTGTCGCTGAAAACAAATTCGTGAATGAGTACTTTGACTGCTTTAGCATATCACGTTTTTGAGATTACTTTAGCTTAAAAATATCTAAAAATGCCATTTTCAGCACTTTCAAGTTTAAGTTTCTCAAAAATGTGATGTGATAGAGCAATAATTCATTTACGGATTCATCAACAAATCATTCGGCGACAAAAAATGTGTAAAAATTACTTTGTTTCATGTGTGGCTTAGAAAAAAAGTTAAATTTGTCAGAGTGTGTAAATAAATTATTATTTTGTGTATCGTAAAGCTGGTAGCAAGGGTTTTTAAATTTTTATTATATTATTACTAATTTTTAAAATTTTATTTACAAAGCTTTTATTATCTTTGATGTGTTATCATCAATTTTTTCTGTCGTGAATGTATTTTCTTATAAAAATAAATTTGAGAGTGCCTTTTGCGGTCATGGCTTATAGCCCGTTCATAATTTCTTTTCAAATGCTCTCTGCACACTCCAGCAGATTTATCTTCAACAAACGGTAAATTATAATAATAGGGTATTGCGTTCAGAGGCAATTCCTTCTTTAAATCTTTTTCGCCTCAAATCTGAAAAGCTTATAGTATTTGACTTGGAGGACACTGAACAGACTGTCCAAATGATGAAAGCTATCAATGCAAGGGTAAGTAAAATGTTGATAAGTTCAACTATTCAATTATTTCTTTTTCTTCAAATTAATATCACTTAATATTTAATCAATGTTTTATTTGTAATTAACTTGGAATTATATGTATTTATATAAACAATTTACGCGATAGTTTTTGCATCAATAATCAGCAGTTTTAACTATTTGTAAAATTAATGCAATAATCAAAACTACTATAACAATAATGCAGCATTGATATTGATATCGCGATTATCACTTGCGATATTTACGATTAGAAAAACTATATCTTAGATAACGCATACAAATTAAATCTTGAGTTTTGTTATGCTGCACGCATAATATTATACGTTTTTATCCCTGTGTAGATTATTTTATTATACTTTCAATAATACTATAATTTTTTAGTATTAACACAAAATTTTGTTTATAAAAGTTTGTAATTAATAAATATGTAATTCTATATTAATTATATCACAATATATAGTTTCTAATTTTTATTAATTAATGGCTGGCTAATATAACAATGGTCTGTTTAAGCTTGTCAAAGGAACCACCGCTAGAAAGTGAACGAGCAGAGAGGCTTTGTGGATGGATCATCTTGTTTAAAGAAATGCCAAATAAATTTCAATATGTCAAGATAAAATATATCGGTTGCGCTACTTGCCTGCACGAATTCGTCAAACATCTGACAGGATTTTCTCGTTTATGTTCGTGAAACCAATGTCTGCACTAGGCCATTATACGATGAATTTTCTGCACGCAGCGTAAGTACCAGAAGTTCAATAAATTCAGTAATTGACAGTAGTTTTCCCGTCTATTAATGTACCAATTTAGTGCATTGAATTTTTAACATACTTTTACGATTATTTCGATAGTCCCTTAATCTCGTGTAACGGACGAAAAGATGCTTACTGAAATTTTATTTGGGAGTATTATACGACAGTATAATCGCGCGTCATATACGTATACATCAAAGTATTCAAATTCAACAATTGGATTACGCAGAAAAGCGATAATCATTAATAACGGCAATATTTACAACGCATCAATGCATACTGAATAACGAATTATTATCTATTAAATCGAACGTAAAATAAACATGCCGAATAAATGAACAATAATGTTTTCTTATTTCGATCTTACATAAAACTAAGCAGTAATGTGATTGACTGAAGAAGACTTGTGGACAAAAAGTATTGCTATTCGTGTTTTTATTTTTCAACAGATAACAGTCATAAACGTTATTACCTTAAATATACATATATATCTCAGTGGCACTCGCTACATACATTTAATATAATACATTCTAAATAATCAAATGTTAATATGCATAAAATAAAAACCGTTCTGGTATCCAATAATTAACAATAATAATGCGAAACGGGTAATATAAATTTACACATTGTGGAAATTAACAATTATAAAAATTGTACGAAGAGACAATCTTTACAGAATATTCAGTATTCAATAACATGCAAAATAAATTAACTAAATATATCTCTAAAATATAATTATATCTTTTAGCAGATAAATTTAAATGTAGTAGATGCCAAACTGTTGCATTGTGTGAAGAATTATTTTCAGATTTTTTGATATATCGTATTAACTGAAGTTTTGCTATTATAAAAGGATACATTCATACAGTATCCTTATATTGTAAAACTTTAGATATCTTTATGTTATAAAACAGTAGTCCTGAACATGCGATCTGAATGTCATAAGAATTCCTTTAGGTTTTCATACAGTATATAAAATACGGCAGGAAGTCAGCTGATCAGAAGACTCACTACCTTAGTCAAACTTCTCCAATCAAATACATTTTATAAATATATTTGGCAATCCGTTTACGACGTCTGGATAACGTAAATGTTATTACATAATTAACCCTCGTTAAGAATTGTTTTCGTAAGTGTATTTACGAAAGCAAGCGCTTCCTTGGCCGTAGAAGTAATGTAACGAGAAGGAAGCATGAAGCCGTATCTACCAGTGTCTCGCAGTTCGACGGTGTATGCATACTTGATCTTGAGAACAGCCTTAGCCCAGTCATCAGAACCGCCAGCAGCTGGGTACAACGTGATTGCGGAATTTCCGACGGTATACACGGTTTTATCATTTGTTGTCTGCTTCATTGCTTCAGCTGCTTCACGACCAACATTATCAAGATCGAGATAATCAGGCGGTAAACGTTGGTCATATCCCCAAGGGTACAAAATGTATTGTCCATAACTATGGAAGCTTATATACGCCTGCAGGAGAAAAATAATAAAGTTAGTTTTTACAGTGTGATATACTACAAAATTTAGAGTTAATTTATGAGATTAGATTGTTTATGGATTAATTAATACAATAGGATTATATTAAAATAGAGGAAAGTCTCCGATATCATCATATCATTTTGTTTTTTTAATTATATTTCTCAAAAGCTAAAAATAACACAAATTAGAAAATGTCTTCTATCAGATAATATAGTAGATAATACCGTTATATAAGCTTTATAATACTGTTAAGAATTTTCATAAGATAAGCAAAAATGATCGTCTGACAAAATGAGCCTCAAAAGCAGACATAAAAAAGAGAAAAATATAAATAAAAAAGATTTATTTTAAAAAACTTTAAACATGTAACATAATCTAATATACTAATGTACAATAACATAATATATTCAATATTATTTAAACTACACAATTTGCAAAAATCTATTAATTATTATGTTCAAAATGTTAATTAAAGAATAATTCTTGGTAGATTATAAATTTAATGTATTTTTCAAAACTATCACGAATACGGCAATGCAAATTAAATAAAAATCAATTTTTATGCAAAATATTTTAACTGACCTTGAAATTTGCTGAACTCGCCAAAAAGAAGTTGCTGATGGCACTAGTTTCTGGCTCGGAGAATGCTTTACTACCTGGGTACGTTTCATGACACATATTCTTGCTAGTCCCCTTTCCACCCCAGCGATATCCAAAGTTCCTGTTTAAATCAGTACCTACGCATCTGCCGGCTTTCCTTCTATTCTTTCTCCATAAACGATCATGGTCAATAGAATATTGATATCCATCCGGATTTACAACTGGTAAAATGTAGAAGTCCAATTTTAGATTTTCGCTGTTTTCAACAAGATAGTCAATAATATATGTCACAGATGCTGGTGAAATCCATTCCCTGGCATGAATTCCGCCATCGATCCATATCGCAGGTGCGTTTTTATAACCGTTACTGATTCTCAGGAGCTTTTAACATTTACAAGAAAAACATTCGAATTTTTTATCGGTCTTATCGAAACAATTATGTTGAATAAATAATTTTCTTTTCTTTTTTATCAATAATTTGATAAATTAGATGTGGATGATACCTTGAGTGGCCGACCTTCGACAGACTGACCGATCGTTTGAACGGAACAGACATCGGGATAAGTGGTCACGAGATAATCAAGATAGTTGTTGATGTCATCTAAGCCATGGTAGCTGGACCATTCCATCCGATGACCTAACGGATATACCTTAAAGATTATTGAGAGATTGCACGGTCCATGCCCTCGTGCGTCTTTATAACAATCGCTTCGTAGATTCAGGTCGGTACAATACAGAAAGCGAGTATTTCTTTTAATTATCATCTCATAAGATATAATATTTCGCCTTACATTTGTGTACATCTAATACAATCATTCTGAATCGACGAAGCGAATTAGGACGCGTCTGAGAAAGCTCACCCCGAAAACGCCAACGACCACCCCCACCATGTACACTAGCAGGATAACGAAGAGGACGAGGACGTGGATAACTACTTCTGACTCCCTGCCACCAAGCGTAACGAGCTAAAAAATTACTGAAAACTCGGTGAGCCCGGAAGCGATGCGCCCATAATTGTAATAAATCCCCAAATGCTCATATTTATTCCCGCAGCTTAACCAGTGTGCTACAACGATTCGACTCTCCGACGTTCCGAAATAAAATATATTGTTTGCAATACGTATAGCAATTTCTCGCGCGAATCGAAAGCCAAACCTCGTCGAGTGTCCGCCCTGGATAACGGCATCGAGAGCAGATCGACCGACTATGCAAACGACCGCGGAAAACGTCGAAACGCCGCGGGACGTGCGAAGACTGCGCGCGTGTGTTTTACACACGCCTTACAAGTAAAGTATAACTGTTAATGTTAATCAGCATTGAAGCGAAACCGGGTTACCAAGTGGGATTCACGCGAGGCCGATAACCTCAATTTATTTCCAACTGTTTCCTCTTGAAAATAAACAAAATCGGATAATAATTTGAAATAATTAATTATGATACTAATTTCTTCTTTTAGAATGTATGTAGTCTCATCTACGATTTTTACATTATCTTTCACACAGCACACACACATTACACAAAACGGCACACTTTTTGGATGATAACGTGTATAAATAATAATAAAATGTAGGGTAGACCGGGGACAAAAGTAACATT